CCCTTACTTGTACGTATAACTAATCTACTGGAACTTTGTCTGAAGTTGCTAAATATAACACTAGGGCTTTGTAATTGGCCCTATTTTCGGGGGTTACATGGTAGAAAATGTGGGATGGCGATGGACCGTGTGGCTGGAGGCAATACTGGTAAGTGGCTGTTCCTACCTTCGTTCGCGAACAGAGCAGAATTAACATCCTCATAGGGAGGGTTTGTTGTGATTGCATCCCTAATATTCCTCCGTGAGACGTATGCACCAACGATACTACAACGCAAGGCAATGCGCCTCCAAAAGGCTACTGGGCAACACTATCACACCAAATTTGACTCTGAACGCACCGCTGGCCAGATGCTTTTGACATCGCTGACGCGGCCAATCAAATTCCTTTTTCTATCGCCTATTGTTCTGATAGTATCCCTTTACAGCGCGGTCACTTACAGCTATATGTACATTCTTTTTACTACCTTCACTGAGGTCTTCGAGAATGTCTATGGTTTTAGCCCGGGCCAGGCAGGCCTTGGCTATATGGGCCTCGGCATGGGCTTCTGCGTCGGACAGATCACAGTTGGCTATTACTCCGATCGACATGTCAAAAAGCAGGAAAAAATCCACGGAAAGATGAAGCCGGAGCACCGCCTTCCTCCTCTTGTTGTTGGGTGTTTTCTCGTCCCGGTTGGCCTATTCTGGTACGGCTGGTCCGCACAGTACAGGCTTCATTGGATTGTCCCCATTGTCGGGACCTTCTTCGTTGGGTTAGGGATCTTCTATGTACACCTCGTTACCCAGGTGTATCTTGTCGATTCATATACCCTCTACGCTGCCAGTGCTGTCTCCGCTGAGCTGGCCTTGCGGTGCGTTTTTGGTGCCACTATCCCATTAGCCGGTACACCCTTGTACGAGGCACTCGGTCTAGGCTGGGGAAACACTCTCCTCGGCTTTATAGCGCTTGCCTTTGCGCCAACGTCGTTCTTCTTACTGAAGTATGGGGAAAGCATCCGGACCAACCCCCGATTCATGCCCAAGATGACATAATCCTCTCTCGCAGTTGCCGTTTGTGGATTTTCTCGCCCTTCTGGTTATTCTTGTGAGCTTTTCGTGCATATAATTAGCGTTCATTTTGATGTGAGATGACATAGAGCATTGGATTGCGGGATTAGATCGATATTGTGTTTAGCGAAGTGCCTGGTCCCACTTTTTATTGTTTCTTCCTGTTTGTTATAGATTGGTTTACACACTCACTCACACACACACACTGATGCAGCGTTTGGGCGACTGGAGCGAGTCATGGCTTTTTTTCCCCGGTTTTCCTCCAAAGGTTATGCACAGAACTAGTATATACTATTACCGATGGCCAATATCATTAAATGGAAAAAGTCTGTAACAAAATGGCAATGAAACCGCGCTACCTTCTCCATCGAGCGTGGGTACACTTGTCCTCTCGGTGGATCCAATAAAAAAAATGCAGATCCCAATAATTTTCTGGCGTCTGTGGAATGTGGGCAATCCCTCCAATCCCCCCACCAGCGCATCCGTGTTAAGAAGCCAAGACGCATTTCAGAAAGAAAGGGCATCTCACCTGTACATCATCGATGCTCTCATCGGATACAGAGTAGAGCAGTTAAGCTTATTCCTTCTGTCACGGTAAACTCTGCTAACATACTTGGGTATGACAGGTAATATGTATGACATAGTCAATAATGACGTGGGTGGCTAGATATGGGGGGGAAGGACCCAGGACGTATTTGAAGGGGTAGTCATGGATATTAACTTAGTAGATACCAAGTACGTACACATATTTGCTTCCTTATTTCAATGTGTGCATGACAAATCATCCAGTACATAGTTGAGTAACAATGTACACAAGATAGATGGTCCAAGAATAGAACGCAGTCAATGCTTTTCTATCCGACAGCACAAAACAACCAGGCTCTCTAATAGTGCACTAAGCAGCTATTGCTAGTTACTCTATAGTAATACTTACTACTAACGAAGAAAAAAAGGTCATAAGTGGAAAAAATGTAGAGAAGTAGCTTTGGTCACGTGGTCTATGTTTACTTATACTCCTCCCCGCGCTAGTAGAGAGTTAAGTTAGCACGACTTTTCGAAAGAGGGGCGACGAGGGATGGATCCATAAATGATCGCCGCACGATCAATGGTAGCGAGGTAAGGGAAGATCATCACAGCCACAAAATACTAGACCCGGACGCTAAAAGTCCTTCTACTTATTATCAGGCTTTGTCTTTTCTTTCACCATATCTAATCTAAGTGGTAACTAGTTAGGTAGTAGGTATTACCACCTAACGTCAAAACGCCGGATCTCATCATTTGCTTCTAAGTCTACGTCGTGACTTACTTCATTAAGAGAAATTTTTAAACACGCCCAGTGATGGCTTTTCGACGACACTTGAAAAGGGCAGAAATGTTCGACCTACTAAATATCAAGGCATTCAACCTAGTTCAACCGGCTGATCTGGCATTCATACGTTCATATATACATGAAGCAATGAGAGGGGTGGGGGGCAACAACCTCTCAACCAAGAATCCGTTGCTTCTTCAACCAAGCCCGTTTCCATTCGCCATAGCATCTAAGAAGCTCGTGCACTCTTGACCATCAACTTGGATATTCTGGCATCGAAGCTCTTAACCCCTGAAGGTGTCGCTGGACCAGATGGGTGTACCCTTGTATAGCACGACGTTACCATCATTCTGCACGGCACAGATGACCGGGCCGTCATTTGTAGCGGTATTGGTGTGCCAGAGGGCTGAGTCATTGTGATCACTAAGTAACATACTGGTTAACCAAGACGAGCTTTCTTATCTCAAACCGGCGGCCATGATTTCTTGACGCAGGCCAGAGAACCAGAGCAAAAGAAAAGGTAAAACTTACTACATAACGAGGTTCCCATCGGTTTGCATACGGATCCCCTGGACATCCTCCCTCTGCTCTTTCGTGTTCTGGAATTTACATTCACCATCCACGTAAACCGCGATCTTGCCATCATGCTGCATTTTGAACTCAACCGAGCCATCCTCACTCCATAGGCTCTGGCCCACTTTGAGCCATTCGCCGTTACCAAGAGTGTTGGGCATATTGATAGAAGACCTAGGAAAGTAGAGATAGAGGCTGCGTTCGAGCGTAGGAGGGGATGAATCAATAGAGTATGTGCTTGAGAGACTGGAGGATTGGGTTGACCATGGAGGGGGGGGTGGACTGCATTTATATAGGATTTCCCGTGTTATTTTTCACTAAGCGCCTATTCTGTGGAATTCGACCCTGCGCACCACCATATTCCACTGTCCTCCCAGGATAGACGGCGATCGATACGACGTAGTCCTATGTTCAGCTCCCCTTTACCCCTCTCCATGCAGCTACGCCATGATTGATAGCCCATCAGAGTAAACCTCCTACCGGATATGATCTGTTTCAGCCCCGCTCATGCAGCTACGGTGGTGGAGTTGAAGAGGGGCATTGCTGAGCAGTTTGTCAATCACAACGACACTGTGGACTGTCTTTAGTAGCATCATTTTCAAGGTGCAAAGTCATTGGGCCATCGACAGAACTGTGTTCTGCAGCTCAACAGACAGTGTTCGACGATTCAGGTCCTCAGAAAACCCCGATCTCTTATACTAATGCTTAGGCTGCCTAAGCGTACTAGGGCCAAGTTTCCTAGCATTGGGCCACGTATCATATCGGGACTAATCGGCATTTCCATACATGCTGATCGCAGTCTACACAGCATTCTTTCAGCCTAGAACTGGCGCCAGGGGTCAGAGCTGAATAGATGTTCTCCTAGTTGTTCAGTGCACGGTTCCTTCCAGGTACCCACTCTCCCCGCACCAATCTAATCAACTACCACGTATGTGCGCAGTAGTCGAATCGGACCACCTTTGACTCAGTGACAATGGCAGCTCCCGGTGTGTGGGGCAAGGCAGCCCTGCATGTGCTGAGCGCTCCATAAGCAACGAGCGAGCGTGCCGGAGACCGGACAGAGAATGGATAGGAGAGGAGTCATGTTGTCTCAACAAATCAATTGGGTTACAATACTCCACCAATTAATTTAATTCGTCACAGGATCCCATGCAAGACATCTGTCCAAGATCACATTCGTATTTGTGAGCTTCCATCCCAAGTAACAACTTGTGGGCAGTGAACCCCCTCCCCGATGCGATACGACTCAAGCCCACGTTTGCGTCGTAAATGAACAGTAGATGCAGGCCGCGATTTGAGATCAGCACCCGTGTTCGTTCCATCCCTTAGTCTTCCTGTTGATTGGGCCCCTCCTACAGCCGGTTTCGATTTGGGGGGCTTTGTCGAAGAGAGAAAGTTCGAGCAAACTATCTCACCCCATTCGGTACCCTTGGACTTGGTGGCTATAGCCCCTTAGCTAACAATTCAATGCTGGTGATATGGGATTTCAGCATACCACTCGACCAAAAGACCAATTGGCGGCTGGTTGTGCCTTAAGCCTATCCAACCTCGGATAGACTCGCCCAAATCAAGTTTTATCAGCCGTGCTCGTGGTATTTCGTTCATTCTACCGGCAACAGCAGGGTAAGACCGGTTTTTTTTTTTTTTTTTTTGGTATTGGATTTCAGTTCCAGAGGGCCTAGGCAGTCATAGAACTATACATTTTGCAGCAAATGGGGTCTGAGCAATGGACGAGCGGGCCAGGGCGCCCTGTTAAGATTTTCCATCGGAATCAGGGTTGGTGACGAGCATAAAGAGAAGTACTGGAGCGAGTGTACAAAGAAAGGTACCGAGCGTGATTCTTGCTGTGATATTCGTTGAGGACGGTTGTCAAGGATATCAATTAGAGATGGATGGGGCACCCAAAACAGAAAATCAGTAGATCTACAAGTTACACTCCAGCGGAAGGGTTAGGACGAAGTAGATATCCCAGTGTCGTGACAATAATATAGTGATCTATAGGCTCCTCAACTAGGTAGATTCATAATAATGGCTCTTGTAGCAAAATAGTCAGCTCCATATTACATAATATGGCAAGATGGCCGAGCGGTCTAAGGCGACCGAGTCAAGATCTTAATCTTGCCTCCAAACGAGGTGTCACTTCGGTTCTCGAAAGAGGCGTGGGTTCAAATCCCACTCTTGTCATTAACTTTTGCTCCCAATAAGTAAGAATGGGGGAGACAGATTTTTTTCCTATTGGTTTGATTTAGGGGATTTTTTTTTATGCTGATTCTCTCTCACTCTCCACAGTTCTATGTCCTCTCTGGTGATATTTCTTTCCTAACGCCGAAAGCGCGAGAGGCTACACTGATCTCCTTTCACACAACTCTCGTGCGACGGGTCAAGATAGCTAGCTCTGTTGAAATACAGCTACATTTAGACACTGACATCCTTTAGGCAGAGATTTACGTTTCTAGAAGTATATCTGTTGCTTTTGAACGCTTTCTATATACCACGGGCAATGAGTCCCAAAAAACCTAGAGAGTCCCAATACACCCTGGCGTTGGACTGTTTTAGGTAGTAAAGTATCCTACGTCCACTTTACCTAGTAACCTTATTCTTTCACAATATTGAAGTCTCCTACTTTATATCTGGGGGCCAAACTCATTTAAAACCATCTTTTAAGCAGGGCTAGCGTGTCATCCGAACGACCACACTAGTATCCTTTTTGGCTGGATTTAGCCCAGAATGTAGCAGATATCAGAGCAAGTCGCCGGTATTATACAGCGCACAAAGATGCTAATATACATTGTGGCCTAGTGTCTCAGTCCCCATATGTCAAGCCGTCTTTGTTTGCAGCTGTGTCGCCTCTACGGTATATTTCATTATGGAAAGCCCATACTAGGCACCGATGTTGCTGAACATCTATCTGACTTTACACACCTGTTTATACCTTCGAAGTATACCACTGCTAGTAGTAGTAGTAATGCCTCCCAGATATCAGCCAGCTTCTCCTACCGATAAGATATAGACCAGACAACACTAGATTGGCACACACAACCTAGGGTTGGAGTCCACTATACTCTTTACCCTGCATCACATAGCGTTTAAGGAAAACATATCTCAACAATTGGCCGGCTGGCCCAATGGTAAGGCGCTTGACTACGGATCAAGAGATTGCAGGTTCGAATCCTGCGTCGGTCATTCCTTTTTGATTTTTTTTTCTCGGTGTCAGAGATCCCTCCATGTTCTTTTTCGTTGGTCGTATGTTCTTTGAGTTATCTTATCCACTGTGAAAAAAAAACTTGGTAGCGCTGTGGATCTACCCAAGCCAAGCCTTTTGGGACAATCTTGCCGGGTGGCGCTATGATTGGCCAATCATTGTACTAGTGTACTCCACCACCTACTAGCCTAACCCATCCATCATTAACTATGCTCAATACATCCATATCACGAGGTATTCTCATGAGACACGAGACTATGTATACTCGTAGAGGGCTAATGATAGAGAGGGTATTAGCATCCATATCCTCTAGGCCTGGATTCTACATTCTCACTGATGTAAGCAGTGCTATAGTTTCAAAGTAATAAGACTCTACTTATCTAAGTAACTTCCTGTGATATATTTGTTCACGTATCCAACCCTCACGCAACCCAGCACTGGACAAAATGATTGTACCACCTCCCCCAGGAATATTCCGTAGAATAACAAAATACCCTCAATCATGTATACCGAAAGTAAGATTTCTTTCCTTTTCCTCTTCAAGAACAACATGACGTGAAACATAAATCAAGGAATGAAGGGATGAAAAGTAAATATATGATTGATGAACAGGGACACCAAACGTAATCTCCCCAAGGCCGGTTTCTCCAGTCCCCGATGGAATGACGTCGGCTGATATCTCCTCTGGATACGAAAGCGCATGTACTAACTAGGAATAACATTCGTTGTATGTCAAATTGGCCACTCATATTTATAACCTCCTTACTAATCACACTCGTCTAAAATGAAGCTCTCTTCTGATCTCTCCTTTTCTTTCATGTAGTATGAATGGCTATGTCGACTCCTGTATATTACCTTTTCCCTCCGTTGAGTTCGCTGGATCTTTGTGTCTCTCCCCACTTGGGGGGAATGTGTTTGCATGTTAAAATGCTGGCTGATTATAGGCGTGGCTGAACCAATCTTGCGCCATGTCGAGACTGATAACCTCCCTGATCTATTGATGGATTCGGCGGTACTCCCTGGTTCAGACAGTGGATAAGAGTATTCATTCATTTTGCTGATAACCGCGCAGAAAGGTCCGGCCACGGGGGAGTCAATAGGGAGATGGAACGCTCTTTAACCAACATTTTTGTTTTTTTTCTCTCTTTCTCATATAGACGTTTGTTCAGACGTGGTCAACACAATGACTATCATTCTTCATGCTTCGTAATTCATGGTTATGGCTAACATCACTATAATAAAAACATTTGCATCGTATCGTAACAGGTCGAGTCTTCGTCGAATAAAGTTCCATGCCAATATGTCATCCGTAACGAAAAAAGGCCCTAGATTCGGGTCCTTAAAATATCAAACATTAAAACGATTGTGTGGGGTATCCCTGGGTGAGTTAATTAAAGTAGCACCACCGATCCTAGTCCTCCATGAAGTCGTCCACCTCGACTCTGGTTCCTAACGCTTGCTGCCCTTCTTTGATCATGGCCTGCAGCTGTCGGTTCAACCGGGCCAGGCTCGCATCTTCCTCGCGCTCCATGCGACGCTTCTGGGCCATGTAGCGCTGTGTCTCCACCGACACAGGGGTCTCACGCGGCTTGGCCGGCGTGGAAAAGTGCGACTTGGTCGTTATCGATGCTGGTTGCGACACAAAGGTCCGCTTCACGGGCTGTCGTCGACGCAAATGGCCAAACGAGGACGTCCTCCGGTGGACCCGTCTGCGGGCCGATGGACTGGCCTCATAGCCGAAGTCGTCGCGGCCCACCACAACCCAGTTGTGATGCAGGTCGTCATCCATGTGATCGCCCGAAAGGGGATTCGACTCACTCCATGCATGAGCGGCGGCAGAAGCGGAGGACAGATCGTGCTTCTCCGTCGTTGGCTGCCATGGGTGGTCGTCAGGACCCAGCGATACCGACGGATCACCAGCCGTCATCGAATACCCTCGACCACCGCCGGCGTAGAATCCGCGGAAGGCTCCCGACCAGCAAAAGTCCCAGACTTTTCCTACCACGTCCAAAACCGCACGGCTCCAGCGCACGGGGGCGGTTTGTGGATCGCCGCTGTCGTCTTGAGCGATTTTCTCATCCTCCGGTCCGCACGGGGATGGCGCCACCACCGATGACGGATCCCGACGGCTGCGTTTGCGACGAGCCCCGGACGCATCGCTGAGCGATTCGACGCTGGAATCTAGGGGAAGCTTCAGCGGCAGGTCTCGATAGCGACTGGGCCGGTAATCATGCTCGGCGGAGACGTCGTCTACTCCAGCGAGACGATCATCGGGGAGAGCGAAAGGGGGGGGACTGGATGGAGAATCCAGCCACGAACGATGCTCAGTCTCTACTCCCCGAGCTCTCTTGCGGCTGGGGATGGAAATAGAACGAAAAAGGGCCGACGAGGCAGAGGGATTCGGCGGCAGGAAGAGCTGCGAGGGAGCACCAGCAAGATCAAGTTGGGGAGGGATGGGTGAGTCGAGAACGAAGGAAGTGGTGGGCATCTCTCTTTTTTTTTTTTTTTACCCCTTTTTGTTAGATTAATTCCCCGTGAGGATTAACGGTAGCAAGAGAGTGGCTGATGAGAGTATACAGGAGTAGGGTAAGCGTAGGAGAGTGAAAAAAAACGAGCAAAGAATTTACTGCGTAGTCTATGAATAATAAATGATGGAAAATACGGGGGGCGGGACTAATTAGGTTGATTTTCTGTTGGATTAACTTGTCTCACCGCAGCAACAACCTTTGAGCCTTCCAGTCCCTAATTCCCCTTTTCCAGCAATCCAATCCTAGTCTTAACATCATTGACTCCAGGGCCAATGGTTTCTATCCATTCGGTAGGACATGTGAGTCCTGATTAGTAGTCACAAGCCTTATTGGTCCTTCACTACTGCTTAGAAGGGCCTCCAAAACTACTACTCACTGCCATTTTAGTTGCAAGTCAGTTGAGAGAGCAATAAATATTTACTAGTGGCTGATTAGATCTCGATCGTAGCAGAGCTGACATAGATCTATACTATATACATGCTGTTTTCAATGTGCTCTGGATATCCTTAGGAACTCCTCGGACTAGTGAGTAATAAGAATACGCTCGGATACTTCCAGACAGTAAAGTCAGTACACCGCTCCCCCCGCCACCCCCCCGGAACAGACAGACTAGACTTGCTTTAACGTTCTTACAGCCTTTGGCTCGCCCACTGCACTCCTGCGGCCTCCAATCCTTCTTCACCGTCTACTAAGACACACCAACCTTCACTTCCCGCTCCCCCGTCACCGGCGATCACCGCCTGGAAGTGCTTGTGAGCGAAGTCCAGCACGGTATCATCAAACGTTCCGGGCTGCAACCACACGGCTGGAATTCCCACGGAATGAGCCTCCTGGAGCAGTGACAGAGTGATGGCGGGCGGGGTCACAACTGATAAGGATGTCTGCGAGGGCGAAGGCAAGGCGCGGGGCGATGCGACCGTATCGTAGGCATGGGAGGGCAGTTCGATCTGCGGTGCGCGAGGGTTGAGAGGAGTGACTGGCAGGGAATGCTGGTGATACCATGCGAGGACTAATAAATCGGTATCTCGTTACTTAGTGATCGATTAAAACTTGGGGGGGTTCTTGCTGCGCCTACTCTTGTAACCAAACTTGTTGCTGTCGTTGCTTGCGCCCGCGACGGCAAAGCGCGGGGAAGAGAAGAAACGCTTGACGGCTTCCATGTTGGCTGTGAGTGTAACAAAAAAGGAGGTAAGAATCAAGGGAGAATGACTTAGAATCCCAAGAGAAATGAGTACAAATAAGTAAGAGAGAGAGAGAGGGATGACCAGAGTAAAAGGTGGGGAAGTGATGTTATAAATTCCGGGGAATCTAGATCCAGTTTATTTGTTAATCCTCGGCTCTCTATCGTTATCACGGACAACTCCGCGACTCCTGTGTCGCTGCTCCGTTTACACCATCTTTTATCGGCCTTGTTTCCCCCCAACTCGTTCGCTTGACCCTCATTTTTATTTTTG